CAAAGCAAAGCCAGGAGTGCTCAGAGTGGCATAGCCAGGAGTGCCTACAGTGGCATAGCCAGGAGTGCCCATGCCTGCAGCCAGACTGCTTGGGGATGATCCCAACTCCATTAAATACTATGAGGCTCTGAGCAAGCTCCTTAAACCCTCCTTGGGCCTCCATTTACTGTAAATGGTGCTAACAATGTAAACAAGATTATCAACCCAAAGGTTTTCTATGCCAATCCCCCCAGTGACGTGCAGAGGGCTGAGCACATGGCCTGGCACTRTATGCCAATATTACTGAAGAGAAACCTAAGACTGTTCTTCATGGCCCAGATGAAACAATAATAACCTCACAAGTGCAGAGTTCAAGAAGGGGAAAATTTGCCACTATACCATCTTTTGCTTAAGGCACTTCTGAGTTGGTTTTCAAACTGTTCCAGCCATCAACAAAAACTTCCTAGTCCCTTGATGTTGACTACCTCCAAACACAGGGTTGACAATGAAGCCAGAGTCAAGACAACCTTGAGAAACCATTGAGCCCTCATTCAGAAGCTGGGAATCCTATTTGGTGGTTCTGAAAATTGTCATCCACCATCTCTTGGGACAGTGTCATGATGCAACTAGTACTGGAACTTTAGGAAACTTGCAGGAAAAGGTGAGTGCATTAGAGTATGTTCATACTTCTTTCCTACTGAAAGAAGGTCCCATAAGAAAGAGATGTTTGCTCCTGGGTGGAGCTGCAATTTCCCAGCAGTAATTTGTGTGGCAAACCCAAGGATTAGGAAGTGGACCAGTTGTCCCAARTAGACTTCGATTTGTCAGTCTCACAAACACTTTGTGCTTCCCTACAGGATCCAGAGTACCCAAAAGCCACTACCAACTGTCCTGCTGTAGCTCCTGGGGCATTAAACAACCCCACCTAGTGCTTGTGGAAGGGAAGTATAAATATGGGTAAGATTTACTGTTTTCTTCTAAGTGACAGAGATTCTCTGGGTAAAAGATGGATTAGGAACTCAAGGGCAAACATGTCTACCAAAAGGGCAGACTCTCCTGTGATGGGGTAAATGTTCTAAGGGCTCGATGCTCCAATCTGTATTTTACAAACTTCAGTAATCTCCATATCATGCTCCTAAATGTTGCTACATCCAACTATTTTCAATTATGAAATGTTTTTAATTGACTCTAAATTGAGATATCATAATTGTTACTTGTTTTATTCTATCCAATATCTATAAAATCACTGATCTGACCTGCATATTATGTATGTGTGTTTTCATATATATTAACTAAGCACATAATTATTTTAATTTTAAAAAATTATAATTTCATACGACACTTTGGAGAAAAATGTGCCTTAAGTGATACAAAAATATACTCTTCTGTAAATAGTTTAAAATATTTTCTCCCATTAATTTTCTGTGCTGCTTAAGGGAATCAAATACACCCTCACATCTCACTGTAATGGCATCTGGGCTGAGTGAGGCATGGGCTGTGTTGGGGGGAAGGCCAGGCCTCCACTTGCTCCACCATTCCAGGAAGCTGCTCATTAAGGGGACAACATCCATCAGAGGAAAGCAGCCCATGTGTGCCAGCTGTCATAGCAGCAATGTGACAAGGAGAGCAGGACCCATAGCAGAAGAGGGGACACCAAGAGCAAAATCTATGGTCACAGAGAGGTTGAGGACAAACAGGATGTAATGCCACCCTCTCTTCCTAAATATCCTACAGGAGATGTCCTTAAGGGAGAAGAAAAATTACCCCTGGCTATCTGAATGAGACTTCTCTACCTCACGCTACTTAAGCAATAGATTTCCTCTGTAATAAGCTAGGAATAAATAGTTGTTTTACTTGGTTGACAAGAAAAGGAAGGGAAAACAGATTGCCACATAACATAAAGCTATTGCCAAGGAGGAAATGAATAACAATGAAAAGATGTTGAAAGTCTATTGTGATATTTTAGTATTTATTGTAGGAAAACTCACTCACCCAGGCCATAAAGCTGACTGAAATGTTAAACTGAAATATTTAAATAAGTAAGTGTTAGAGGTAAGGAGGAAAGAGGACCATCCCAAGTCAAATCACTGTGCTTGGGATCTAAGGTATGGCCTGTGTGATTTAGGCTTGTTATCAGCCTTCTCACCCAAATGGTAAATCACTGCATGTTTCCAAGGAAAAGAACCCCAGGACACTCTGTGATTCAAACTGTGAGAGAGCACAGAACCTCCCCTGCTGGCGTTCACAAAGTGAGGTCTATTATTCATTAGGAAAATACTGATGCACTCATAACTGGAATGTGATTTCTCTTTGGAGGTTCAGACAGTCAGAAACTATTCATTTAACCTCACATACTAGGGAGAATTTGTTCCCCTGCCTTTTCCAGCACCTTGCAGTGACATGGGTTCCTCCATTCTCAAAGCCAGAAGTGAGGCATCTGTGAATCTCTTTCTGGCCTCTCCTCCCTCCTTCTCTCTTACAGACTCCTGTGGTTATACCAGGCATAATTCAGGACACTCTCCCAGTTTCAACACCCTTCGTCACTCTGGAGAAGTCCCTTTTGCCATGTGAAGGCACATGTTCATAGTTTTAGGATTAGGATGAGGAACATTTCAAGGGGCACTGTCCTGTCCACATGGAGGCCTCCACTAGGTTCTTCTCCATATAAGCACTTGCTTCTGCCCTCTAGACTGTAAGGTTTATGAAGATAGTACCACAGATTTATGATCCTACTGGGTATACAGCAGTAGTGTACTAATTAACCGTCAACCACATGTTCTCCAGGAGAAAAAGAAAAGTGCCTCCATCAGTAGCTGTCCCAAGTTCCGCGGTTGGCATACTTCCATCATGGCCAATTTTGCGACAGTGATGTCACTGGATATGGAATTAAGACACACAGTTGCCCACCCCCAACTGWTATAATAAATAACCACAAGGACATAAACAATAGTAAAATGGAGTAAAATAACTACTGCAGGGGGCTCGGGTGGTAACTCAGTGGTAGCGGGCTTACCTCAATACCACATAAAAATAAATAAATAAAATAAAGATATTGGGTCCATCAACAACCAAAAATATTWAAAAAAAAAAACACTAGGACAGGGTGAGTTTTGACTATAACCTTTGCTTTTATTTTAATATAATTTATTTAATTGCGACTATAAATACATGTAAATAAACTAATTTTTAATAAGGACTCTTTATCAGTYAGCTTAAAACCTTCCTCAAAACATAACAATCAATTCTTACAATTGTGAGAATTGTGCTGTAGGTATGTAATAAATATTTGTTCATTCAATAAATGAAGCAGTATATCTAATGATAGTATATTAATGTATATTCAGATGTAAATCATCTGATTCATTTTTCTTTGCTAAAACATTAGTATTAAAACTAATTTTATTCTAATTTGAAGATAGGATACACTAAGTTTGAGCACTACCTCTGGTCACACAGCAATTTAAAAAGTAACACTTTGATCTTAGTTATTATTTCTTATTTAATTCTTTAGCTATTGTCAACCTTGGTGGGAATTATGTTGTTTAAAAGTATATTTAAGATATTTAACTATTTTATATGAAATGCAAACTAGTAGGTTAAATTTGAGACAAGCATTATGAATATATTATTATCTTGATTTGGGAAAATTTTTCACATTCATAGTACCTGAAGAACAAAGTATGAATAATTAATATATTATTGCCAGGTATTATGATGCTAATCTTTAAAATTTAAAATTAAGAAGTGTCCTGAGAGCTTCTATTTATAATCCAAATGATAAAAAAAATTCTTAAAAATTATTGAAATGAGACTTTCTATATTAGAATGCTTATTTCCAGTTGCCTCTCCATAGTCCCTTTTAGTGAACAATACCCAAGTACTATGTAATATAACTTTTCTGCCTACCTTATACCTTCCCACCAAATCACAATGAACCTTCACAAGTCACATAAACATGACACTATTGAAGGTTTTCAGGCATTACTTCAGAATTAATGTGAATTACACAGCCAAGAAAAGTTTCAAAAGAAAGATGATATGTAACACCAACAGTAGGATGATCAAAGATAAAATATTTGGCTAGAAAGCTTTCCAAAAAGCTTTCTAAAGTCAATACACAAAACATGACAAGGGAGAGAGGAGGAAAGAATAAAAGTGCATTGGACTAGACAAGGAGAATGAAGGAAGGGAGAGTGGGAACAGGAAAGACAGTAGAATGAATTAGACATAACTTTTCTGTGTCCATATATGAATACATGACCAGCGAAACTTCACATCATGTACAACCACAAGAATGGATCCTAATTAGAATAAGTTATAGTCCATGTAAGTGTAATATGTTCAAATACACTCTACTGTCATGTATATCTAAAAAGAGCAAATAGAGGCTGGCTTTAAATTTATGATCCTCCTGCCCCAGCCTCCTGAGTTGCTGGGATTACAGGCATATGCCGTTGTGCCCAACTGAAATAAAATGTCTTCTATTGACTAAATAAATAAATAAATAAATAAATAAGTCAACGAGTCTTTTCCTATATTTAATAAAACAAAATATGGGGAAGGAATTACTTTTCAATGAAAGGTAGTGAGTATACTTCCAAACATGTGTGGACCAGTGTTGCTAAATGCACAGATTATGGAGAAAATGTTAGCAAGCAGAAGAAAGAGAACTCTGCAGACAGAACATATAACTTATAGAATTAAACTTGCAAAATTAACAAGAAATGTCATAATCATCAATATTCTGTTGCTATGAATAAAACATTTTGATTCGCTTGATGTAGACTGATTGACCAATGTAGAATTTTTTTTCATTAACTTATATAAAACTTGGTTAAAAAAAATCAAGTTTATACTATCATAGCTGGAAAGCATAAAATCCATTTAGACATCTTGGAACCACACTTATCGATTTTGATTGGGATCAAAATTCAAAGCCACAGTCAATGAAGATTATTTCTGACAGCCATCATTACAAGAACCATCCATCCCAGGCAGCTCTAATTTCATGATTTACTTACACACTTCCTGTGGTAGAACTGCTATCAGTGAGGAAAGATCCATTAGTTCTTTCCATCTGGGCCAGTCTGAAAAAATGAAAATAAGGACATCAGATAATGTGGCTGCAGAGAACATAGTCAACTGAGAGCGCATCCACAGTCATTGCCATAATTTTAACAGAGAAGGGTTCAAATCTGCTAACAAGATTATAAAACTAAAATGGCATCTAACGTCCAGCTACATTTCTATCACCACTGTCGTAAGGCCTTAGGCCTCTATCTTCCACCAGACTGTATTGTCCCCTACCCATCTCTCAGGCCCTCTAGCTGGTCTTCTACATTGAAGGGGGGTTATATTCCCACACAAATCCAATTATGTTTCTTTCATGTGTAAAGGCCCTCTACAACTTGCCTTTCCCTAGGGACAGGACCCAACTCATTAACAACTGGGCCCTTCACCCTCAGACCTCAACTTCTGCCCCCCATGCTTTCTCCCTCTTTCACCCTTTCCCCTTCCTGCAGTTGAGAAAAGAAGCCACATTCTTTCCCAGTCTAATGTTTTTGAGTATATTTTCCCATCAGCCTAAGCAACCCTTTCTCCAAAAATTCTACTTGGTCCTGATTCAGTTCAAATGTTACTAGTTTTGTGACCCTTAAACTGGTGTTTTCAAGCATAGCCAGTTACTAGGACCATAAATGCCTAGTGTTAACTACTTCACTGAAAATCTGTGCATACCATCAAGACTGCCCTATATTTTATATTGCTTAGGAGCTCGAAAACAAACCCCTATAATAAAGCATTAGTGTGCACTTAATTACATATTGTAATTCATAGATGTACCATCTCCTGAGAGTACTTTCAATCCCTGCTTTCATTCACCAAAATTGGGTCACATTATCTAAATCCTGCCTGTACCGTGTTTGGATTCTCATGAGCTCAGTAATCACAGCCTATTGAGATTTATTCTTCACAGAATATAGCGCAGGTGTTTGGTAAAGTGCAAATTGCAATGCAAAGAGAGCCCAGATTCCATATATAATGGAATTGCGGCTCCTGCAAAAGAACATTCCTTAAATGAAGATAGGTTAATAGTATTAGATTAATACAGAAATAGATATTATCCAGGGTGACAGTGGGGCAGAAGCCTCCTGTCAAATTTCTTACCTTGTGGCATACTGTTCTATTCTTGAATGGGTGTCATCGTGAAACAGCTGGGGAGACTGTGAAGGGCTGTTCAGGAAAAAACAAAGGGTGGCTTTATGTCAAATATTGATAGATGTTTCTAGCAGGGATGTTAGTTTTAGTTTAGATAAATAATGAATTTGCCATGCAAACAAACCACCAGGATTGTTACCCAGGGTGTAGATGTATTACTTTAGAACAGGAGTTTAGTCATCATCCGCATGCTAGAAGGCCTGATCAGAACACCAAGCTCAACACTGGGCTGTGAATACTCACTCATAGTGCTCTGGCCACATACTGATGAGYGTGACGGGACTGCAAGGAGGGGAGAGGAGACAAAAGTCACAGAACAACACTTCAGAGCAGTCCCAGACAAAGGGCGGGGCATTCCACTCATGCATCTACCTGACATCCACCATGGGGAAACCAAAAGTAACAGAAGTCACAGCTTATGCTAGAGAAGATGCTGTGTGTTCAAGTGTCTGTAGGGGCCTTTCCGGTCAGTCTTAGGTCTAATAGGATATTTGTTACAGGGGAATAGCAAATACATTTAAAAACTAAGAAAAAAACCTCAGGATGTTCTATAATAGCTCAAAATGCTAGAACAATGTTAATGAAAGCATTCTATATCATTTTGAGAGAAGATGTAATCATATTCTTGTTTTTCCTGGAAAAGAAGCTTGATCAGAAAGGTGTAGTTAAATATGTAACACCTGATTATATATTAATGGCAGAGTTGAAGAAAAATTAGATTTTTCTGATTCTACATCCAATTTTAAATGAAAAATTCACACCCAGGTGTACACAAAGTATCTCCACTTCACGGATAGTTAGGAAAAGATGCAACCTACATCCCTCCCCTATAGTCCTCTAAATTGCCACAGCATCAATAAAACCAAAAGCAACATCTCTAGAGCAGGATATGTTGTCTTCAGACAAAATTTCCTCCAGAATTTCAATCTAGGAAACTGACACATGAAAACATGTTCTGCTCCACTCAGGGGCTTGGGTCTGCAGTGGGATTGTTCAGCATCACTTGAAGCCCAAGGGGCAGCCCCAGTCTCTCACACTGCCTAGGAATCCCCAAGCCTCCATAAAATGCCTCTGAAAACATTTGATCCTAATAAAAGCCAGTTCAGGGGATGAGGTTGTGGCTCAGTGGTAGAACACTTGCCTTGCATGTGTGMGGCACTGGGTTCAATCCTCAGCACCAAATAAAAATAAAGGAAAAAAAAAAAGGTATTGTGTTATATAAACTAAAAAAAAAAAAAAAAACAACCTAGTTCAAACCCCAACTTTTATTTCCATGGAGGGGGAAGGGCAACAAATGTAGAAATTAAAAAGTACAAAGAATACTAGTTCTATACTTAAATAAATAAATAAAGTTTCCTGCAAAAGCTAATGCAGATTGAAGCAAAATTATTCTAGATTTCCTTGGTTCTCCTAGCTCTATTTTATGTCCATACCTAAGAGACAGTTAATGATGTCGTTATCTCTGACTGTGAAGCACAAGTCAATATCTGCATGGCAAAGACTAAAAAGAGATGAAAGGTCCTCTATTGGGGATGAAAAACTACAAGTCTTCAGACCTACTTTCAAAAACCCTGTGTTTGTCAGAATATCTAATCTGTAAGTAGCCTTAATTATACAGGTGCAAAATAGATACAAGAACAACTAAAACAAACAAACAACAAAAAAAAAACCCAGTATTATTCCTTACTCTTTTTACATCACTTCTTTTCATTAACCTGAAATAAGGAGGTTAAATGTCAGAAGGCTGACTGGCTACACACTTCGTAAAAACAGTAACTGCCTGAGATTGTTGCTAAATTCAAGTGTGCAACAACATTTGACATGAACTTTAAACGGAAGAAAAATGTGTATTTTTGATCTGAACAGACCTTGGGAAAGCTTTGTGAAACTGCTTGACTGGTTCTTGTGAAGTTAATTCGGTTAGAACAAAAGTGATTCATGAACTGAGATAAGGGTAGCAGGGGCAAAAAACCATGTGAAGAGTTTCTGGAAAGAAGTTTATTTTTTATGGAAAATTTCTAGCAAAAGAAACAGAGATTAAAGAAATTCTAAYTTTAGGCTTCAAAGCATTTTGACTTGAAGGAAAAAAAAAACATTAAGTGATAAACTTTCACATTTAATTCTAGAAGGGAAAAATAAGGCTCTACTGAGTAAGAACCTGTGGTTATTAAAGAGGGTTGAAAGTGAGACCAGGGCTGGGTATGCAGATCAGTGGTGGAGGGCTTGCCTGGCATTCCTATGACCTAGATTCAAACCCCAGCATTGAAAATAAGTAATTATTAATTCTGATGGTGGTGATACCAATTGGTGTGTTAGCACAGACTTATACTACAGCCTCTCCTTGTTTTACAGTGTGCTGGTGGAGCAGGGTGTTTTGGTTAATCTCACATAAATAATGCAAGGAATTGGAATCTGTTAGACTTCATAATATATGAAATGAAACCCAGACTTCAAAGAATGTTGTGATGTTTAAGGCACCTTTTTAGTGCCTTAAATTCTCAGCAGTCTGCTACTTATGCTTCTGGTTTTTTGCCTTCCTCAATCCACATGTCCCAAGGCATGTCACTGGGATCCCAGCTGCTCAATTATATATAAATTCTCAATGGCTCCCCACAGCTCTGAGGATAAACTCCAAAGGCTCTGGTGTGGCTTACAAGGCCCCTCGTTTTCTGGCTTCTGGTTCTTTCTCCACTCTCACTTCTTGCCACTATTCTGGGCTTCCCACCCATTTCAGAAACWTATCATCCTCCATCCTTTCGAAAATGCTTACATTGCCCCCAAACTTTCCCTATTCCCCCTCCAAGTGCACCAATCAGTCACAAGTTGCCTTATTCGTCTTTCAGATCTCAGCTTAGATCTCACTTCCTCCCAGTCCAGTGCTTCTGCAACCATAACCACTCCTACTGTGAACTGGTTCTTGCTATAGCAAAATCTTTTTTTTTTTAATTATGAAATTCATCTATTCACTTCTACCAATACCAGAGAGAGGTGTCTATTTTACTTTTTGAATCTTTAAGGAAACCAACCTAACCAACCATTTTAGTGGATAATCATCTCTCACAGAACTCAAATTACTTTTGTTTTTATTTTAGTTTGTTTCTCAGGTTTGTTTTCCATTATACACTTTTTAATCAACTTCCACTTATTTATTTTTTGAAACATCTTACATAAATTGCCATGAAACTAATGTAATAAACCTTAGCTTGGGTATCTTTAACCCCTTTAAAAATAGTTCTTTTTTTCTCCCATAAATATTTTTCATGCATATACATATAATCACACTCGGAGGATAAAACATGACATTTTACAAGATGAAAGAGAAAGAAGCAAAAGAAAACTCTAATCAGCTCCATAAATAACTTCAACACCTTCACCACTTCACTGGTTTTTCTCCAATGTTCTCCTCCCACAAATAGGAGAATAAATGTAATCAAACTTTTTTACTACCCACTCACCAGAAGATGAAGTGGCCCTGTACTAGAAAGGGCTCAGGAGACAAATGAACTACCCCAAATCCAAAGAGCTCCGACTAGGATTTGAAAAAGAACATCTGCCCACTGTATTCAGCAGCTCATAAATCTTCTTCAATAAGGATCCTATGCATTGATTTAATCTGATACTCCTCCTTTTCTTTCTCTTGTTTCCCTCTCACTGATAAATTTATGTACAATGATGTGAGGCATTTTTAGCAGTGTACCCCAAAATTGGTGCATAAAATTATTTGACATGTTTTTCTGTTAATTTGCACATTAAAAGAGTCATTCATACTGGCACGATTGATTCCAATGATGACTGGACATCAAAAGGCAAACTATTGAAAGTATTTAAAAAAGAGTATGAAAGATATATCCACCTGCATGCTTCAGGTGAAAGATGTAGATATTTGGGACACAAAATGCCAGTGGTTTATCAAAAGAGCACAAGGTACATTGCTTAATTCAAACCTMTCAAATGACCCTATAAATTAAAGCACCAAGTGGTAATTCTATGGTTTAGACAGCCATTACAAAGGTTAGTTGGATCTGATATAAACAGATGTATAAGCTTATCATAAGGTATTCAGCTTGGTTAAACAGTAAATTCTATTATAAAACAAGAATTATTAGCAGAATTATTAGAAGAATAATATTAGCAGAATTATTTTACTAGAATTATTAAACAAAAAGGCAAAACCATACCCACAAACAAAAGAGAAGACCAGAAATAGACATTTGCTGAATATATGTAAATAGCTTTTTTTTTTTTTCCTGGTATGAAGAATTGAACCCAGGAGGCTTAACCAGAGCCACATCCCCAGCAATTTTTTTTTCCTTCTTTTGAGACAGGGTCTTGCTAAGTTGCTTATGGCCTTGCTAAGTTGCTGAGGCTGGCTTTGAACTTACAATCCTCCTGCCTTAGCCCCGCAAGCTGCTAGTTAAATAGCTCTCCTTAAACTAACATTGATCTCATAAAATTTGTTCTAATGTGAACAGTGGAAAAAACAATTAGGAACGTCACATACCTGAACTTTACACAGTTTGTTATCAAGCAGAATTATCAAAAAGTTTGAATTCTTTCTTATACTCTATATGTGCATGTGTTATATGGACCTTTCTATATATAAAAGAAAGATTCATGTGCTCAGAAATTCAGAAAAGTTCCTGTTCTACCAGGCTACCATAGGGATAAAAGAAAAAAAATATCAGACCAAGTCATCTGTTCTATTCTGACATTTTTGAGCCACTGACTGTCAGAACACATTGGACTACTATGATTCTCTGATTATCTCTCATATTCAAAATAAAATGAAGTATGACAAGCCACTCTGGTGATGATTAGCAATACAAGTTGATTTCCCCAGATGCAACCACAAAAGCATGGCCTTGGCAAGCATTTTTAAATTGTCTTAAAGTGATTCAAAGACTTAAATTTTTTTTCAATTTTGATCTTCATATGTAATTGTTTAGTAACATAAAATTACTTCCTTGCATTTCTTCTAGCTCATTTAAAGCCGTTTTTTTCCTTCTCCTTTCAAGCTATAAATTTTTATTTTACTTAGCTTTATAAATCCCATAGCAATTATGGTATTTTAGAATTTTATTTATGGTCGTCAACTCAAAATACATACTTTTAAAAAATTAATATATACTTTGAAATTTTCTATTGCATGTAATACATAAAGCTGTTTCATTTTGCTGCCTTCATCTTTAACAGAAAAGAGATAAGAAAGGTAATGAGATTTCGATAAGATTTTTAGCATAGATGAGTATGTGAAGCAAGAGATTGAGTATGATTAATAAATTTCTATTAAAAAAGATTAAAATGCACTATGAGAAATAGTAAAAACAACTCCAAAGGGGAAAGGGGATGAGAAAGCACTAATATTAAAATTTTATTTAAGTACTTTTAAAAGGAAAAGAGATGCTCAAGAAAAGAGGTCACCAGTTTGGAAACACATACAAGATTAATGTGTTTAAGCTGCAACACTGTCAAATGTAAATAACTAAGATTCATAATTGTAAAGACTGATTCCAAGGAATTTACCTCTCAAGACAGAACATTTTACCAAAACACAAATCTTTTTGGTTTTAATTTCTCATGTGCTACTAACATTTAAAAAAAACCCAATAAATGTTCATAGAATATTTAATTAAAAATGGAACTTACGTCTCCAAGTTGTCACCTTCAAGAACCGTCTGAACAGGCAGGTAGCCAAGCCGAGGATGTTTAGCAAAGTATTTCTTTGACCTGAACTTGTTCTTCAGCACCTTTGTGAAGTCTCGGACATCTTCCCCAGATGTTGTCTGCGAGATTGAAAAAATTACACTTCTCATGAAAATCAAAGGAGATTGCTCTCTACAATGAAATCAGAGTAAACTGATGCAATTTAATACCAACCATTTGCTAGTTTTATGAATTTCTGGAATTATACATGATATTATGAAAATACATGGCAACTGGTATTCACTAAATGTATCCAGTGATTGATGTTTTAAATTTTCTCTTGAAAATAAACCAAAACTATACATTTCCCCAATATTTTATGACTTGAATCAAAAAGTTAAATTACTTTTAGAAATATTATTGCTTGATTTCTATTGCTAAAATGATTTGATGTTTAAAAAGTAGTGACGACGACTAGTAACATAAACTGAGTGAGTGATAAATGTTATTTATTTACTCTGCTGTGTGCTCCCTGCCCACAACCTGTCTTTTATTTCACAAGTATTGCCCAGGACTCATACAAACTTGTTTTGAAAAGAGAAAGTTTAAAATATAGCTATATTTTAAAACAATTAATTAGTCGGCATTTACATAGCTATGCTACTTTTTAGGATACTCCCTTTCCATCTAAATATGTTTGCTTCTAGTAAAGACTAAGGGAAACTTTTGATTCTACTCTAGTCTTGCAAAGAACAGAGGCATGAATAATCCCAAAGCCAGTTATGAACTAAAATTCATCATCAATTTTCACATTGTTAAAACAAATAACTTCCAGCAAGGACAGACCTACACAATCATTAGGCCTTGACTCCAGATTAATAATGTCAAAACATTTTCTGACTAACTGAAAATGAACTATAAGGATCTGAAGTTATATGGATACTGACCATCTCAGACATCTAACAGACATGCAGAAAAAACAAATTAAAAAAGAAATCAAGGCAACTTTGTGTAGGAAAATGGGTTGCTATAAGAGATGGTGGTCTGTGAATATTCAGATTTTATCAAGCAGAATAGGAGAGAGAATAAAGTTGGGAGTCAAGAAGGAAATGCAGAGAATGAACATCTGGGACTGAGCATAAAACTGAAAACATATCCCTCAACTGCAGAGGACACTCATAGCTTTTATAGTAGGTACCACAATAATTTAGTTTATAGATAGACTGCTTCTGAATGTCTTGTAAAAATGGCTAAGGGAAGAGGCTTTTCATAACAGAAATGCCAAAAGAAGAACCTTGTGTTAGAATAAGCATTTGTGGCCCAATTATTTCTGTCTGCTCTTAGCACATTGTTAATATACAGAGAAATACTTGATGAAGTAATGTACTCCAGCCTTTACTTGGACTGTCTCCAAGCCTGGCAATGGAAAGGTTTTGATCTCCTAGGCTAGCGGTTTTCAAGTACATCCAGGTCTCCAACTTCCACCCTGAGTTGGGTGGGCAGGAGAAAAGGCCAGTGGTCAAGACACCAAGTTCTTTATCCAGTATGCCTTAAACGAGGCAGCATATGTTGTACAATTTGGTGGTTATTAGTGTATTCAGAGCTGAACAACTATCACCACTATATAAGTACATAATATTTCATTACCCCTCAAAGAAACTCCATACCTCCATCCCCCAAGCCTGGCAAGCTCTAATCTATTATCTGTCTCTATGAATTTGTCTGTTCTGGACACTTCACAGAAATGGATTCATATGATACATGGTCTTTTATGACTGGCTTCTCTCATTGAGTATAATGTTCCAGTTTATTTATATCTGGGTTCCTACATGGACTTATGCTTAGGAAAAAATTACAAATCACCCAAAACACAAGTCTAATTCCACATCACATATTGTTTAGTAAATATATTCAACATATGGAAGACCATGGGAAAACCAACCAACAAACAAAAAAAAAAACTCCTTTCTACCCCTCCTACTATCACCACAACCAACCAACCAACCAACCTCGTACCTTCTCAGAAAGTTATAACAGAGACTGAAATTCAATTGTTTTTAATAGTGTATACATTTGCATTAAAAATTAGTGCATATTCACACAGAAAAAGAACATTTTTATTTCCTCAATGATTTTCATATTGAGGGGGAAAAAAACCTCTCACCCAAAGCTGTAATCTTAGGGCATTAATTCACTAGTGCCATAAACCTCATGCAATATTAAAAAAATATGAAATGTTATTCATCCCACAGAAACTAGGGATTAGATTCAGGGTAGCAGAATGTAATTCTTCTGTTGGGATAGAGCCAAGAAAATGAATTAAACCCACTTTTTCATCAAAAAATGTTAAAATATTTATATATATTTGGTCTAATTTGCTATCTAATGACAGTTACTAATATTTCTCTAAATTATAGTACAGTGGTTTGGTTAAAAAAGAAAAGAAGAAGAAAGAGGACCACGTACCTAACAAATTAAATATAGTCAAATTGAACTCTATCTTCACAGTATAGACATGACACTTTGTTTTTAAAAAGCAAATAACTATTACTATGCTATAACTTTCCATTTCATCTCCTTATTATGGCTTACCATAATAGGGAGTCCTATCATAATATGGAGATGAAATGGAAAGGAACACTCATTACTGTCCAAATTATCCAACATTTTAAATGACACCTGCACTTCATGACARATTGGGTTTTTGTTTACTGCCGTAAGGACAAAAAAAGATTTTGCAGATCCCATTACAAATGAGTGTAGTAACACGCTAACATAGAACCTTGGACCTCATAATTAATTTTCTTTCAATCTCATCTAACTGCCATGACTTGTAAAGACATTATTATCAGTTATTTGACCTGAAAAGAAACTAACAKTAAGCCTCCAGTCAAGTTCACTAAAGAGAAAGCTGTTATAGCAAACGTGGGCCTTTTCATCACATCAGCACTAGGTCACTACAAGAAAAATGGAACCATTTTAAGTTTTGTAGGAGAAAGAAGCCATAGCCCTTGACAAAAATATCTGTTATTACATTCTGAAATCTCTCTTCATTTTAAACAAAGCAGTGCTAAGATGCCCTTGGTTGATCTTTTAGAAATTTATGTTGAAATGACATTTTATAGATTTAAATTGTATCAAATGTTTAATGCAACTACCATTAGAAAGAAAATATAAATAAGGGAGTAAAAAGAAGGAAGGAAGGAAGGAAGGAAGGAAGGAAGGAAGGAAGGAAGGAAGGAAGGAAGGAAGGAAACTGTAAACTGGCTATTCAGTCACCCAAAGATAACCACTCTTAAAATTTTGGAGACTAGACTGATATATATTTCAATCTTTATTATTGTAAAATAGAGACAAACACAACAAGTTATGGCTTCATGAATTATCATGTGACAATACCATCTGATTCAGCTAATGGAGTTCTGCTGAATATTCTAGAAGATTTTTCCATTCGCAACTCCCTTTCCCTCTCCATAATAAACATTATGCTCATTTTTATGTTATAAATAACTTATTTATATTTTGAAAGTAGTTTTATAACTCCACCTTCTATCCCTAAATATTATGGTTTATTCTTGTGCATATTAAAAAGTCCAGTACTGATTAATTATTGTTTTTTTCAATCCATAGTCTCCTCCTCTACACCTGCCATTTTTTTTTTAAATTTGTCTGTTGGAAAACCCAGGCAAGTTGACATATACAGTTTTCCAGACTCTCAATTTTGGAAAAATGTGCATTTTTGTTGCAATTCATCATGTCCCTCTGTCCTCTAGCTATCTTGAAAATTACCAGCTAGATCCAGAGAATGCATCAGAGTCAGGTTTGATCTTCTGGTAAGAGTGGTGGTATTTGGCCAGATTACCTGAGGTCATTTCTCTTTTGTTATTCTGGCAGGTTCTCATGAGGAATGCAACTGTATCCATTCACTGGGGGCTACAAAATGGTGATGCTATCATTCATTTTTCATTTATTAGTTGAAATGCTTTTATGGAAAAACATCCCTACATCTACTATTTAGCTACTCAATGATACAGTTCATTTAGAAAGGCAGGATAAATGTTTGACTGTATTTCCTTTATTGACCAATTTTCATTATTGAACTGGTTTCCTATCATCCTTCAAAGATAACCAATCTCTTTCTTTTTTTATTTGTTTGTTTGTTAAATACCACTATGAACTCAGATTTTAACATCGCTGATGGGTTTCAATCTATAGAAATTTTATCATTATTGAAGCTCTAATTRTCTGATCTTTGGCTGGGACACCACTTTGAGGATTAGGTTTCAACATATGACTTGGGGGGAGAGGGAACATAGACATCCTGTCTGTAGTAGCACTTAACCATTAGCCTTCTTGGTCTTGCTTCCTAATTCTCACTCCTCACCCAGCACACCCTTAGGGCCAGACTTCTTCCTTTMAGTTCTTTGCTCTGAGCTGCTTAATGCTGGATCTATTCCCAACAGTTAATCCCTTACATGGGAAAAGTCCTTTTTCTACAGGAAAGCCTCAGTACGTCTGAGAACTCAGAGGGCCAGAGCACCATTCGAATCAGAATTACACACCTTCATATCTTGGCTCTAGGCAAGGCTCTCCCAGGTGGAGCTCTGCTCTAGAACCAGACCTTGGTGTTTTCCATGGGTATCTGCTGGTGGTCACTTAGTGACACCCAATTTTAATTTTGAGAATATCTTATCACCTATTTGTGTTATAAACATTGTCTGTGGATTTGAGGTCTTGCTGTCTAGTGGCCCTGTCTCTTTCTCTGTAACTATTTCAATAAATGGGATGAAAATGACAAAGGAAAAAGAGACTGAAAAAGTTGAAGTCACACAACCACCATCTGCCTCAAATCCCCCTGGATGGGTTTCTAACAAGCACACAAGAACRCACATATGAAAATGAGAGCTGCCCTTCAAATTGTCATTTCTGGAGAGCTAATGATAGTGAGTGATTCTGAAAAACATTTTAGAACTGAACCCATGGAGACAAGTGGGTATATGAAACTCAAATTATCCTTTACTCCACTCTGTAGTTAAATAGCAGTAAGATAATGGAAACTTATTTGAAGGACAAGAAGTAACCAGATCTTGACTTGCTCCCCAGCAACAAATACACATGAATGAATAAAATATGAAAAAGT